GCCCCGCCAAATAAAGCCCCCCACCAAGTCGACCATTTCCCCCTCTCAACCCCACGTGACTTTTGACCGCGACTGTACTCCCGAGGAACATTGGTTCTATAAGAGAAATATATAATTCCTGAATTGGTGCCAGAAGTAATTAGGTCAGTTGTTTACCCATACCTACTGTACATCAAAACTCGTTATCAACCCATCTGGTGATTTATCTTTTTCTAATTTTTTTTCTCCTGGGATCTTTGGTTAACTATTGACTGATTCTTTTCGTCATATGGGTTTTTCCTTCTCCACATCAGCTCTACAGGTCACGTCATTTTGTAAGGTTATTAGTAGCATGGCTCATTATTCATCCTAGATAGATTGAGTTAGAAGACAATGTTTTATCTTGAAGTAACAACTTTATGCCAAACACATTCCTCGCTTCAGTTTATGGACTGCAATCCCAAACTACACTACCCCAGCCAAAGGTTAACGACACATGAAAGTATTATGGTCATGGGGATATGATTCTATTATAATTACATAAGTCATAAAAAGCAGCAACGTCAGTTTTCGTGAAAATTGGAGATAAAAATTTAAAGCATAAACGACAGAAATGAGAAATGGGGTTTTATGCGTTGACCAACATTATTCTGCTTTCATTTATCGACTCTGTCCCCAGACACAGACTTACCAAAAAAATAATGATCACAACAGTACACAATGATAAAAAATAGTTAGCAAAATTATTTCTCTCCGACATTAAGCTTAAGTAAGAATTACAAATCCCTTATCCATCTCCAAGATTCGTCAAAAATATTCCCTCGGGGATCTTTATTCTCTCCCGTCCTCCACAACCCAACCCTACAAGACAACCGTTCTCCCCCACCATTCAGTTAAATACTACTTTCTTGCGCACGTAACACAGCATTAGCCAGCACAAATACAAAATCTCATCAGGCAAAAAAAAAAAAAAAAAAACACACACGAGAATAATGGCATACTCAAAACTGCATGACATGATAACCATCAACACACAATAAAACAATTCTTACACAAAACAGACATGGCTTTAATCTTTTCAGAGCAATACATTATTTAACCAACAGCTAATGCTAGATAAAGGCCTTAAAATCCTTGGAAACACGCACTGACTCCACGTAACCTTTACACACCACACATATGACATGAATGCAAAGGCTACAGAAAAACTCAATATACTTCAAACATTCACAAAAAATACCTTTCGACAACAAAAGGCACCACTAGCAGTGATACACAAACAATTTGCACACACAAAAATAACCTTGGCGATCCCAGCTGGGCCTCTGTAACATCTGCCTCCAACACATAGGAAATTCAAAAAGCTTAAAACAAGGCCCTAGAAATAATAACAAGTTGCATTAAGACCTCAATTATTAGCGACCTACATTCTAGATGTAGAGGACTGGCATACAAGGCCACTTTGATATTCAGGGATCACAGTTCATCTCCCCGGTGCAATAGCATGTTAAAACACCTTCCTTCCCACACACTCGCAAAATACCACTTTTGAGCTAATAAAAAAAATCTGTCCACGAACACAAACATAATTTGTTTTCAACAATGGATCTCAGGAGTATTTGAAGCAAATAATAAAGACGCATGGTCTTTCATGTATTATTTTATCAACCATATAAATGAAGACAGATTTATATTCACGAGTGAATGTCGTTAAAGCATTGTTAATTGGAGTATTTGAACATTATAAATGATTATTATTTACATTTTCATAAGTGGAAATATACCTTTTGTGCACAGGAGGAGTGTTACGATTGGGTTTCAGTGACCAATTAATCAAGTTGTCGAGGGTAATTTTCGTAACATTAAATTCATAATCATCCAACTGATGAGTATGGCTCTAAGTTTATTTTAGAGGATGGACTAAATTGCCGAAAAATACCACATATTTTAAATAAACTTGTAAGTGATATTTACTAATAATTTGGAACAACATAATGAAGAGTTAATTTTTCCTCATAATATTAAATCAACGAAATAAATGTGTCTTTGTCAAGGAAACGAGGACATCGTACAGATATTAACATATTTTGCCAATGCAGCATACTGAACACATATTCGCCAAATATCCTGCAAATCTCAAATACCATTCAGAAGAAATGACTATTCTTCGCCAGACTACTGTGGTCATCACCTTCCTCCAACCCATACGAGCACGTACTGATGCTATAGAACAGCCCAATTCCAACCATTGTAAAAATTATCAACACCTAATTATTATATATCATATTTGTATCACTTATGTTACCTGTATATCATTTGTAAATCAAAGACCCAGTCCCTAATTATGTAATTGTATATTTTAAGCCTTCCGGCTGCCATGCTCTTTCAATGAACCGTTTATTATTATTATTATTATTATTATTATTATTATTATTATTAACCACGGTATCAACATCCTCTTCAGTCCACCCTATTCCCACTAAGTCCAATTTGTAACGATGCCCTACACAGCGGTTCACTTACATACTGCATAAACAAAATAAATATTTGAGAGCTTCTGACAGTTATCGCTAAATTCCTCAAGCCCATCGGCTATAACGGCAACAACTACAACAACTACAAACTGGATTTTGTGTATAGATTATATCTCGTAAATTATATGGTAGCCCTCGTCATTCCTCTCTGGTCAAAAGACCAGTACATTCCGTCATGGTTTCTTTGGTCCTGAGATGGTCTTTGGAGATCTGGTCATCAACATTTGTTTCTTCTCAAGGAAAACCTTCGCCTTTATACATTAGCATTTCTTCTCTAAGCTGGTATCCTTCTAGAGGTTTACTAAGACCATGGCTTGATTCTTCTGTGCCTTTACAGGCATGCAACCATCTGCTAAATCTCAGCAGTACATCTCTTGGTGAAGTGCCTTTTTGACGGGGATTTTGGCACTTTAGGAGGATGGAGATATTTATTAAACTGTATCTTCCAGCGACAGTGGCGTCGCCAAACGGACGCGACATATAAAATACATTAAGCCTTACATGATATTGTGCAATAACACCAGATTAGTCAATAAAAAACGACAATTATATATGTCGAGGTTAGATGTTAACGCCCTCTGGTTCTTTAAAAATTACTGTCAGGCGGAATACTTCCACTTTCATGGGATATTGAACAAGATTATGGATATTTGTAACAAAAGATATGTATTTACAACTATTTATACTGATAATCGGCATGAAGACAGTTCAGAGCAACATAAGCATATGTGGTTTGGAAGTGCCGGATTGCCGGTCGGAACTAAATGTCAGGAGTGTAGACACTAATGTCAAGCATTGGTGTCTTGTATATCAACACAGGGTGATAAATTGGGTGTCTTCTTCTCAACAACGTCACAGGAGATCAAGTATCCTCCTTACCAGCGCAGGTACTTGATAATGAACCCAGGAGGAACAGCACAATAGGGCTGACAGTGTCTAGCTGGCTTGCAAATATACAAGGCTAGGAGTGCAGCAGTTCACACCAACATGACCATGAATAAAAAAACTGCAACAATACAGACCATTTAAAATAGTGTCAAATTTATTATGAACATAAATATCGTTGATAGTTAACCAACGCATTTTAATGTAGTTTTTTTTAACAGGCTACTACTGTTGGGATATAGAGAACAGTATGGCATTTACATGTTGGTAGCAGAATTGGCAGTACCACCACATTTTCACATCTTATATTGTGCTCGCCAGTTTATTGAAGACCAACGTTAAAATGAAATACAGTACAGCTAAAACTACACAACTCACCAACGTATTGCTGGAAATTTAAGACCGCAGACTCTAAGATTAGGCTCCTACAGTGGAAAAAGTTTGAAGACCAGGTTTAATTATTCCAAGTTGACATATTATTAATAATAATATTTATTGAGTGAAACTCTCATGTATACAGGGTGATTCAGCAAGGAATACATTAAATTGGGTGATCAAATCCTTGGATAATTCTAAACCACAATGTCTCTATGGTAAAATGTCAGATTTGCAGAGTTTCCATGTTACAATACATTTAAGATGTTGTATTAATGGGAGTGAATTTGATGTGAAGCTCCTCCCCCATCTTATTCTGTCGTACACGGTCCCTGTCTCATTGTACCTGTGTCAGCCATCTGTATCACGCAGTACTGCTGTACATAAGACATAAGACATCTGTGTGAGGTTCTTCCCGAACATTACCCCTGACTCAAATGAGGCTCCCCAGGCATTACCCCTGGACCCAAGTGTGAGGTGCTTCCCGAACGTGCACCCCACGACTCAAGTGTGGGGGTGCTCCCCAGACATTACCCCAGGACCCAAGTGTGAGGGGCTCCCAGAGGTACCCCAGGACTCAGGTGTGAGGTGCTCGAACTTTACCCCAGGACTCAAAGTGTGAGGTGTTCCCCAATTACCCCAGGACAGGTGTGAGGTGCTCCATGAAGTATACCCCCAGGACTCAAGTGTGAGGTGCTCCCAAACGTTACCCCAGGAATCAGGTGTGAGCGCTCCAGACATTACCCCAGGACCCAAGTGTGGTTTTCCCGAATATTAACACAAGACTCAAGTGAATTGGTCCCAGACATTACCCAGGACCCCAAATGTAGGTTTGCGAATATTACCACAGGACTCAAGTGTAGGGGTGCTCCCCGAACATTACCCCATGACCCAAGTGTGAGGTGCTCCCCGAATAATACCACAGGACTCAATTGTGAGGTGCTCCCCAAAACATTACCCCAGGAATCAAGTGTGAGGCGCTCCCAGACATTACCCCCAGGACCCAAGTGTGAGTTTTCCCCGAATATTACCCCCAGGACCCAAGTGTGAGTGCTCCCCGAGCATTACCCCAGGACTCAAGTGTGAGAGTGCTCCCCGGGCCACCACAGGACTCCAAGTGTGAGGTGCTCCCCAGGCATTACCCCAGGAATCAAGTGAGGCGCTCCCCGAACATTACCCCAGGACCCAAGTGTGGAGTTTTCATGAATATTAACACAAGACTCAAGTATGAGGTGCTCCCCGGGCATTACAACAGGATTAAAGTGTGAGGTGCTGCACTTGAACGTACCCCAGGACTCAAGTGTGAGGTGCTCCCCCAAACGGCCCCCAAGTCTCAAGTGTGAGAGTGCTCCCCGAACATTACCCCAGGACCCAAGTGTTAGGTTCCCCGAATATTACCACAGGACTCAAGTGGGTGGTGCTCCCGAACGTACCCCAGGACTCAAGTGTGAGTGCTCTGAACATTACCCAGGACTCAAGTGTGAGGTGCTCCCAGATATTACACAGGACTCAACTGTGAGGTGCTCCCGAACATTACCCCCAGGGGACTCACTACGGTGGTCTGAATATTACCCATGACTCAAGTGTGAAGGGGCTCCCCGAACGTGCCCCAGGACTCAAGTGTGAGTGTTCCCAGACGTACCCCAGGACCCCAAGTGTGGGGTGCTCCCAGATATTACACAGAGTCAAGGTGTGAGGTGCTCCCCAGATATTACTCCAGGATTCAAGTCTGAGGTGCTCCCCAGACATTACCCCAGGACTCAAGTGTAGGGGTTGCTCCCCAGGAATGTACCACAGGACTTCTGCTTTGTAAAGATTTCCCCAGACATTACCCAGGACAGGGTGTGAGGGTGCTCCCCAGACCTCAGGACCAGAACAGCCCAGGGTGCTTCAGGCACAATACCCCAGGACTCAAGTGTGAGGTGCTCCCCAGACATTACCCAAAAGACCCAAGGTGGCAGGTGCTCAGCAGGCAGCCTGCCCTAGGACTCAGGCATGAGGTGCTCCACGAACATTACCCCAGGACTCATGTGGGAGGTGCTCCTCAAACATTACCCCAGCAGTCAAGTGTGAGGTGCTCCCCGACACAACGCCAGAATCAAGTGTGTGTTGCTCCCCGAACAACATACCCCAGACTCAAGTGTGAGTTGCTCCCCTGAACATTACCAGAGGACTCAAGTGTGAGGTGCCCCCGAACACACCCCCAGGACCAAGTATGAGGTGCTCCCCGAACATTACCACAGGACCCAGGTGTAAGGTTCTCCCCGAACTATACCCCAGGACTCAAGAGTGAGGTGCTCCCCAAACATTACCCCAGAACCCAAGTGTGATGTGCTCCCCGAATATTAACACAGAACCCAAGTGTGAAGTGCTCCCCAAACATTACCACAGGACTTCAAATGTGAGGTGGTCTCCGAACATTATGACAGGACCCAAGTGTGAGGTTCTCCCCGAACATTACCCCAGGACTCAAGTGTGAGGTGCTCCCCGAACATTACCCCAGGATTCAAGTGTGAGGTGCTCCCCGAACATTACCCCAGGACTCAAATGCGAGTTGCTCCACGAATATTACCCCAGGACTAAAGTGTGAGGTGCTCCCCGAACATTACGACAGGACCCAAGTGAGAGGTGCTCCCTGAACATTACCCCTGGACTCAATTGTGAGTTGCTCCCCGAACATTACCCCAGAACTCAATTGTGAGGTACTCCCCGAACATTACCCCAGGACACAAGTGTGAGGTGCTCCCCAAACATTATCCCAGGACTCAGGTGTGAGGTGCTCCCCGAACATTACCCCAGGACTCAAGTGGGAGGTGCTCCCCGAACATTACCCAAGGACTCAAGTGTGAGGTACTCCCCGACACAACGTGAGGACTCAAGTGTGAGGTGCTTCCCGAATGTTACCCCAGTAACCAAGTGTGAGGTGCTCCCCGAATACAACCACAGGACTCAAGTGGGAGGTGCTCCCCGAATGTTACCCCAGTAACCAATTGTGAGGTGCTCCACGAACATTACCCCATGACTCAAGTGGGAGGTGCTCCCCGAACATTACCCCAGGACTCAAATGTAAGTTGGTCCCCGAAAATTACCCCAGGACTCAAGAGTGAGGTGCTCCCAAAACATTACCCCAGAACCCAAGTGTGATGTGCTCCCCGAATATTACCACAGAACCCAAGTGTGAGGTGCTCCCTAAACATTACCACAGGACTTCATATGTGAGGTGCTCCCCGAACATTACGACAGGACCCAAGTGTGAGGTTATCCCCGAACATTACCCCAGGACTCAAGTGTGAGGTGCTCCCCGAACATTACCCCAGGATTCAAGTGTGTGGAGCTCCCCGAACATTACCCAAGGACTCAAATGTGAGTTCCTCCCCGAATATTACCCCAGGACTAAAGTGTAGGGGTGCTCCCAAACGTGCAACCAGGACCCAAGTGTGAGGTGCTCCCCGAACATTACCCCAGGACTCAATTGTGGGTTGCTCTCCCCGAACATTACCCCAGAACTCAATTGTGAGGTGCTCCCCGAACATTACCCCAGGACCCAAGTGTGAGGTGCTCACAAAACATTACCCAGGACTCAAGTGTGAGGTGCTCTGAACATTACCCAGAATCAGAGTGTGAGGTTATACGAACATTACCCCCAGAGAACTCAAGTGTGAGGTGCTCCCCGAACATTACCCCAGGACTCAATTGTGAGTTGCTTCCCGAACATTACCCCAGGACCCAAGTGTGAGGTGCTCCCCAAACATTATCCCAGGACTCAAGTGGGAGGTGCTCCCCGAACATTACCCAAGGACTCAAGTGTGAGTTACTCCCCGACACAACGCCAGGACTCAAGTGTGAGGTGCTTCCCGAATGTTACCCCAGTAACCAAGTGTGAGGTGCTCCCCGAATATTCCCACAGGACTCAAGTGGGAGGTGCTCCCCGAATGTTACCCCAGTAACCAATTGTGAGGGGCTCCACGAATATTACCCCATGACTCAAGTGGGAGGTGCTCCCCGAACATTACCCCAGGACTCAAATGTGAGTTGCTCCCCGAACATTACCCCAGGACTCAAATGTGAGTTGGCCCCCGAACATTACCCCAGGACTCAAGTGTGAGGTGCTCCCCGAACAGTTACCCCAGGACTCAAATGTGAGTTGGTCCCCGAACATTATCCCAGGACTCAAGTGTGAGGTGCTCCGCGATCATTACCCCAGGACTCAAATGTGAGTTGCTCTCCGAATATTACCACAGGAATCAAGTGGGATGTTCTCCCCGATCATTACCCCAGGACCCAAGTGTAAGGTGCTCCCCGAACATTATCCCAGGACTCAATTGTGAGGTTCTCCCCGAACATTACCCCATGACCCAAGTGTGAGGTGCTCCCCGAATATTACCACAGGACTCAAGTGGGAGGTGGTCCCCGAATATTTCCTCAGGACTCAAGTGTGAGGTACTCCGAATGTTACCCCAGTAACCAAGTGTGAAGTGCTCCACGAACATTACCCCAGGACTCATGTGGGAGGTGCTCCCCAAACATTACCCCAGGAGTCAAGTGTGAGGTGCTCCCCGACACAACGCCAGAACTCAAGTGTGAGGTGCTCCCCGAACGTTACCCCTGGACCCAAGTGTGAAATGCTACCCGAACATTACCACAGGACTCAAGTGTGAGGTGCTCCCCGAACATTACCCTAGGACTCAAGTGTGCGGTGCTCCCCGAACATTACGACATGACCCAAGTGTGAGGTGCTCCCCAAACATTACCCTAGGACTCAAGTGTGAGGTGCTCCCCGAACATTTCCCCATGACTCAAGTTTGAGGTGCTCCCGAACACAATACCCCAGGACTCAAGTGGGGAGGTGAACATTACCACAGGACCCAGGTGTAAGGTTCTCCCCGAACTATACCCCAGGACTCAAGAGTGAGGTGCTCCCCAAACATTACCCCAGAACCCAAGTGTGATGTGCTCCCCGAATATTAACACAGAACCCAAGTGTGAAGTGCTCCCCAAACATTACCACAGGACTTCAAATGTGAGGTGGTCTCCGAACATTATGACAGGACCCAAGTGTGAGGTTCTCCCCGAACATTACCCCAGGACTCAAGTGTGAGGTGCTCCCCGAACATTACCCCAGGATTCAAGTGTGAGGTGCTCCCCGAACATTACCCCAGGACTCAAATGCGAGTTGCTCCACGAATATTACCCCAGGACTAAAGTGTGAGGTGCTCCCCGAACATTACGACAGGACCCAAGTGAGAGGTGCTCCCTGAACATTACCCCTGGACTCAATTGTGAGTTGCTCCCCGAACATTACCCCAGAACTCAATTGTGAGGTACTCCCCGAACATTACCCCAGGACACAAGTGTGAGGTGCTCCCCAAACATTATCCCAGCA